GGATCATCTCATGTGTAAACCCCATTTCGCTTTTGTCCGGATCGAGGCGGTCAAGAGTACTGAGCGTATATATAGGGACCGTGGTAATTGTTAGAAGGCGATGGTCAGGGTGCCGAGTACTTTCAGGCTCTAGTGTATAGACGTGGGTATAATCATGTGGGGGATTTTCATTTAGATTTTCCATGGATCTGCTTATAGACACGGCCATACTAGTGAGGTGTAGCCGCGGACGTCACAGTCGGGTTCAGCGGCAGGTACGAGGCGTGGCTCTCTGATCGGGTGAAAGAGCATTGCCAGCTACGCTCGACGGTGCATCTCAACTCAGAGCCCTTGAACTTGAATAAATATAACAAATAATAATAGGAATATGTCGATGCGATTGCGGTTCGTGCTGATAGATGTGGGTGGCTGATGGTGGCGCGTGAGAAACCTAAGCGCCCAGCCTGAGAACATCCGGCCAACTTTAGGTCTGGACTGATCCCGACTTCCACAACCAAGAAGATGCACAACACGCCAATTCATGCTACATAATTGCACATCCGATAAGATATATATCTCTTCAGACGCGAGCCGCCTATCGACCGCCAGCGCCGGTGCCGCGAGGATGCAAAACCCAACCCCTAAGCTAAAGATGCATCATAGCTCAGCTCTCGCCCCGCAATCTGACCTCGGTTGAACCTGGCTTCATCGTCAGGATCCTCACCAAACAAACGTGCCCGCCGGCTCTACCGCCGCAAGGTCATCTGGGGGGCGGCCGATCAGGTAAATCGAACCCCTTGCCGCAGCCCTTGTCCCTGATTCATAGTTTCTGTCGTAGAAAATATACGACAATCATCGACTAGACACCTCTAAAACTACATCGGCGTATATCGCAACGACGTATTATTGACCGATGAGTCTGACTATCGCGCATCGGCACTCCGGCGTCGGAACCCGGGCGGAAGAATTAGATCCGAAGGAGCCCTGCTTTCCCGCGGGTCCCAGCACGACCGCAATCGAGCCTACTTGAGCCCGCATCTGGTCGCACGCTCCTGGAGAACTCCCACAGCGACGCATTATATAGAGCCTGCTCGCTACGGTCTCCGTACCTCACACGATTTACGCCATGGCCACTGCCAGCGTCGAGCAACCCGACCTCACCAAGGTTTCTATTCTCGGAAAGGACTCTATCCACTGCGGCTTCCACCTCACGCCGTACATCGCTCAGACCGTCCTTACCACACTCCCTGCCTCGACTTATGTTCTGATCACCGACACCCGTGTCGCCGGGTTCCATCTCGCCTCGTTTGAATCTGCCTTTGCCGAGGCTTTTGCCGTTAGGCCCGATAACTCCTCCCGTTTTCTGACTCATGTCATCCCGCCCGGCGAGACTAGCAAAAGCCGCGAAGGCAAGGCTGAGATCGAAGACTTTTTGCTAGACAATGCCTGCACTCGCGATACCGTCATCCTCGCTCTCGGCGGAGGTGTTATCGGTGATCTTGTCGGATTCGTCGCCGCGACTTTGTAAGTTATTAGCATATATCTCATGTATTTTGCCTGACATGTTGTGTAGCATGCGTGGTGTCCGCTTTGTCCAAATCCCAACCACCCTTTTGGCCATGGTTGACTCTTCCGTTGGAGGCAAGACCGCTATCGACACTCCTCACGGCAAGAACTTGATCGGTTCCTTCTGGCAACCCTCCTACGTATTCATCGACGCCGCCTTCCTCGAGACCCTCCCCCAACGCGAGTTTGTCAACGGAATGGCCGAGGTTATCAAGGTGAGTCGAACAATAAAATGCTTTTTGTCCTCGGCCGACAATAACTCACGTGACCATTTCAGACCGCCGCCATCTGGAACGAAAATGAGTACTCTATGCTCGAATCTTCTGCTCCTGCCCTCTTCTCCGCCATCGCTACCTCGTCGTCCTCGACCAACGCCGGGCGCACTCTCGCCACCCGCTCTGAATCCCAATCGCTCCTCTTGCACGTTATCACCGAGAGTATCGGCGTCAAGGCGCACATCGTCACCCTCGATGAGCGCGAGACTGGCTTACGCAACCTCGTTAACTTTGGCCACACCATTGGCCATGCGATCGAGGCTGTCTTGACCCCGACCATCCTCCACGGCGAGTGCGTTGCGATCGGGATGATCCTCGAAGGTGAGGTCGCACGCCAACTCGGCGTGTTCAGCCAAGTTGGTGTCGGCCGTCTCACCCGTGCACTCAAGGCGTATGGGCTGCCCGTATCGGTCAAGGATTCACGTATCCAGGCTGTCCCTGCCTCGCGTCTCTTGACGATCGATAGGTTGCTCGATATCATGAAGATCGACAAGAAGAACTCGGGTCCAGAGAAGAAGATCGTACTGCTCTCGCGCATCGGCAAGACGTACGAGGAAAAGGCTACTGGCGTCAAGGACGATGTTATCCGCCGCGTGTTGGCCGAGGCGTGCCGTGTCATTCCGGGTATCCCGCGCAACACTCCGGTTCGCATGAGCACCCCTGGTAGCAAGAGTATCTCCAATCGCGCACTCGTCCTTGCCGCTTTGGGTAATGGAACCTGCCGCCTTCGCAACTTGCTGCACAGCGATGACACTCAGGTCATGATGAGCGCACTCATCGAGCTCAAGGTAAGCATACTATTAACATACGCATATATTTACTAACAATACGACAGGGTGCCAAATTCGCCTGGGAAGACGGTGGCGAGACCCTCGTTGTAACCGGCGGCGGAGGAGCATTCACGATCCCGCCCGTCGGAAAGGAAATTTACCTCGGCAACGCCGGTACCGCCGCGCGCTTCCTCACTACCGTTTGCACTCTCGTCGGCCCAGACCCGTCTTCTGCCTCTGCCTCAGCAGCCTTCCCGGAAGGATACACCTTCATCACCGGCAACGCGCGCATGAAACAACGCCCGTGCGGCCCGCTCGTCGACGCGCTCCGCGCTAACGGTAGCAAGATCAACTATGTCGAGTCTGAAGGATGTCTCCCGCTCCATATCGGTGCCGGTGGTCTCAAGGGCGGCAAGATTCAGCTCGCGGCGAGCGTGTCGAGCCAGTACGTGTCGAGTATTCTTTTGTGCGCGCCTTATGCTCGGGACGAGGACGTCGTGCTCGAACTCGTCGGCGGCCAGGTTATCAGCCAGCCGTATATCGATATGACCCTCGCCATGATGAAGACGTTCGGTGTCGAGGTGACCCGTCGCAAGGGTGCGGACGGTGCCTTGCTCGACGTGTACGATATTCCCCGCGCGCGGTATACCAACCCCGAGAAATACGCAATCGAGTCCGACGCGAGCAGCGCGACCTATCCCCTCGCCGTGGCCGCCATCACCGGCACGACCTGCACGATCGAGAACATCGGCACGTCCTCGCTCCAAGGCGACGCCGGGTTCGCAGTCAACGTGCTCAAGCGCATGGGCTGCAAAGTCGAGCAGAGCGAAAACGAGACGACCGTCACCGGTCCACCGATGGGCCAGCTCAAGGCGATCGGACTGGTCGATATGGAGACCATGACGGACGCGTTCTTGACCGCCGTCGCGCTCGCTGCTGTGTGCGGAGAGGGAAGCGCCGAAGGTCTCGAGTCCGACGTGCCCAAGAACACGACTCGCATTTTGGGTATCGCCAATCAGCGTGTCAAGGAATGTAACCGTATTCGCGCGATGATCGACGAGCTCGGTGAGTCATCTTTCATAAAGATAGGCGCGCATATATGCTGATAAGATTACAGCCAAGTTTGGTGTCAAGACCAAGGAGTTGGACGACGGCCTCGAGGTGTACGGCCAGCCGATCGAGACGTTGAACAAGAACGTGTCGGTGCATTGTTACGATGACCACCGTGTCGCGATGGCGTTCTCCGTCTTGGCCACTGTCGTCGGCGGAACGATTTTGGAAGAGAAGCGATGCGTCGAAAAGACGTGGCCCAACTGGTGGGACGATCTCACCAACAAGGTTTGTCTCATTCCATCTCTCCTAGCCGATTCATGGACTAACGGCCGTTGAAGATTGGCATCGACGTCGAAGGTGTCGAGCTCACGCACAACGGACCAGCGGCAGCCAAGTACGACCCCGAAGCGACGATCATCATCGTCGGGATGCGCGGCGCGGGCAAGACCCACATTGGCGGAATCGCAGCGGCCGCGCTCGGCTGGTCGTTTGTCGACGCCGACGCGTCCTTTGAAGCTCGCACGGGCGAACTCGTCTCCCAATTCGTACGCTCCAAGGGCTGGCCGGCGTTCCGCGCGACCGAGACCAAGATCGTGCAAGACTTGATCGCCGAGAACCCGAAACGGACGATCATCTCGACCGGAGGCGGGATCGTCGAGTCGCCCGGAAACCGTGCGCTGTTGACCGATTACGGACGCGCAGTCGGCCCGGTCGTGTATGTCATGCGCGACGTGAACGAGATCCTAGGCTACCTCGGCTCGGAAACCGCTCGACCGGCGTATG